TCAGTGACTGAAATCCAAAAATATTTGGTGCAAAGGTTTTGTGAAAAATATCAGTTTTATAAAAAAAAAAAAATTATTTCCAGCTAGAAATCTTTATAAAATTCCATTTCAGTTCTTTCATAAACAGAATTTTCTGAACATTTTGATTCCATGGGAAATCTCTAATTTCTGACTTTTGTTCAAATTTCAGAAACGTGAAATTTCTCACAGGTAAAAAATTCTGGTTGATCATTAATCTCTCTGCAGCCTGCCAGATTTAGGGGTAGCAGAGACTTCACTGTGAGAGTTGCTCAAAAACTATCCATCCAGACTCTTTCTGTGACAGAAAATTTGGGGTTTGATTGAGCAAAAATTTTAGCAGAGAGTGTGTGCTTTAGTCAATTTAAAAAAAAATGTGAACATCGAAGTCCCCAAAATTTAAAATTTTCAGCCAAAACCCAGATTTTGGCTATTATTTTAATTCTATTGATTTTTAAATTTTTGGGGGCAGTTTTTGAACCCAAAATGTTGGGGTTACATTGAAAAGTATAAATTTTCCACTGAAAACTTCAACAAAAACTAAAACAAATATTAGTTTCCACTGAAATTTTCTATTGAAAAAATTCTCCATTTTCTATCCAGCTCTGCTCAAAGCCAGCCAGAGGTGGTCAATTTTTTTTGTTCTGCAACATCTTTGGATGAAAAAGAGACATTACTTGCAAGTGAAAATTTTCCAGTTTTTCAACAAAAGAAGTTTCCAGTTTTTGTTTTTTTTCCCCAGTTTTTCCTTTTTTCCCCAGTAGCAAAATAGTAAATGAGGGAAAGAGGGAGCAGAAGGAGAGAGGAAAGGATGGTTAAAAGCAGAGCGAGGAGGGGAAAAAAGAAAAGGCAAAGATTTAGATTTTCAGTTTGGGTTTTGTTGAACAATTTGGAATATTTTTGGAAAAAAAATATTTTTTTAAATATTTTCAGTTTCTTTAAAAAATAAAATTCAGTGGAAAAGGTTTAGGATTTTCTGGACAGCTCTGTCCAGAGCTTCCACAGTGGGCAAGAAGTTTGGACCATAATGCAACTCACCCAATGAGCTGATGCTCTGGTAATTCTCGTACATGACGTCCCTGTAGAGCTGCTTCTTCTCCTCATCCAACAACAACCACTCTGCCCCACTCAGAGTCACAGCCACGTCCTCAAACTGCACTGGCACCTGCAACCACAAATACATCCTCCTCAGCACAGGCCACTCCAAGGCTATCCCCTGCTCACCAATGCTTGTGCCAGGGACCAGCCCTTCCCTCCCAACCTCTGCCAGTCCTCCTCCATCCCACTTAGTGCCAGCTTTTCCAGGGCCAATCCCTGAAATCAGGGGATCAGGCACAGAAGCAGGTCAGGGCCAAGTGCCGAGGAAACAGGACCCACAGAATTGGGGTGAGCATGGTGGGGGTTAGAATCCTGACAATAGTACTGGTCCATTACTAGATGGAAATGGTGGAATTATCAATAATAATGTAGAAAAGACAGAAGTGTTCAATAAATATTTCTGTGCTGTATTGGGAAAAGAAAAAACAGATGATTTAGCCTCGTCATATGTTGATGATAACACTCTTTCCATTAGTATCTCTGGAGGATGTTAAACAGAAGCTATTTATAAGACATCTGTAAGTCAGCAGGCCCAGATAATTTGCATCCAAGAGTTTTAAAAGAAGTGGCTGAGGAGCTCACTGGATCGTTAGTGTTGATAGTCCATAAGTCTTGGAGCCTTGGGGAAGTTCCAGAAGACTGGAAGACAGCTAATGTGCCAATTTATAGAACAGGTAAATGGGATGACCTGAATAATTACAGGCATGTCAGCCTGACATCAGTCCTGGGCACGATAATAGAGGGGCTGATACAAGACTCAATTAATACATAATTAAAGCAGGGTAATGTAATTAATGCCAATCAACATGGGTTTATGGAAAATAGGTCCGGTCAAGTTATCTTGTTTTTTGTTTTATGAGAGTTCAGGTTTGGCTGACAAAGGTAATTGTGTTGACATAATATACTTAAACTTCTGTAAGGCATTTGACTTGGTACCACATGACATTTTGATTAAAGAACTAGAATGATATAAAATTTACATGGCATACATTAAATGAATTAAAAACTGGATAACTGCTAGGTCTTAAAATATAACTGTAAAGGGAGAATCATCATTGAGCGGGCGTGTTTTCAGTGGGGCCCACAAGGATTGGTTCCTGGCCCTACGTTATTTAACATTTTTAACAATGACCTGGAAGAAAACAAAAAATCATCACTAAGAAAGTTTGCAGATGACACAAAAATCGGGGGAGTGGTAAATACAGCTCTACCCCGATAGAACGCTGTCCTCGGGAGCCAAAAAAATCTTACCGTGTTATAGGTGAAACCGCGTTATATCGAACTTGCTTTGATCCACCAGAGTGCGCAGCCCCATCCCCCCCGGAGCGCTGCTTTACCGTGCTATATCCAAATTTGTGTTATATCGGGTCACGTTATATCGGGGTAGAGGTGTAATAAAGAGACAGATCACTGATACTGAGTGATCTAGATGACTTGGTAAACTGGGTTTAGGCAAACAATATGCATTTTAATACAGATAAATGTAAATATATACAACTAGGAACAAAAAATGGAGGCCATCCTTATAGGAGGGGAGACTCTATCCTCAGAAACAGTGACTCTGAAAAAGATTTTGGAGTCGTGATGGATATTCAGCTGAACATGAGCTCCCAGTGTCACACTGTGGCCAAAAGAGCTAATGCGATCCTGGGATGCATAAATGGGAATCTCGAGTAGGAGCAGAGAGGTTATTTTACCTCTGTATTTGGCACTGGCACAACCACTGCTGCAACACTCTGTTCAGTTCTGGTGCTCACAATTCAAGAAGGATGTAGATAAATTGGAGAGGATTCAGAGAAGATCCATGAACATGATTGAAGGATAAGGAAACCTTCCTTATAGTGATAAACTTAAGGAGCTCAATCTGGGCACGTCTTCACTCGATCTAGTGTAGACGCGAATAAAAAAAAAAAAACTACGATCCCCGGTCGCTCTGCTGTCGACTCCGGAACTCCACTGCAGCGAGAGGCGGAAGCGGAGTCGACGGGGGAGCGGCAGCGGTCGACTCACCGCCGTCCTCACAGCCAGGTAAGTCAACCTAAAATACGCAACTTCAGCTACACTATTTGCGTAGCTGAAGTTGCGTATCTTAGGTCGAAACCACCCTCCCACCCCATAGTGTAGACCTAGCCATAGAGAAGGGGTGACTTGATCACAGTCTGTAAGTACTGACATAGGGAAGAAATATTTAACAATGGACTTTTCAGTTTAACAGAGAAAGGACTGATGTGATCCAATGGCTGGAAGTTGAAGCTAGACCAATTCAGATTGGAAATACAGTGTAAATTGTTAACAGTGAGGGTAATTAACCATTGGAATAATTTACCAAGAGTGAGGAGTGGATTGTCCAACACTGACAATTTTTAAATCAAGACTGGATGTTTTTCTAAAAATTCTGCTCTAGGAATTATTTCAGGGACGTTCTCTGGCGCTCAGATCCCATGAGTGGCCACTAACTTGGGGCACTACAGTTTTTAGTTGTCCAGCTGGGAGATGGGTGGGGCCTGGTTTCCAGGGGGGGATGTGCTAAGGATAACACAGCGGTAGCTGGGCAGCACCTGAACCATCAGGGAGGCCCTGGTTGACTCATGTTGGGCATCCAAACTCTGAAGCACCCACACTCCATGGAGAATCTTGAGCAAGACTTTACAGGGACAAATACAGGAACCCTGGCTCCCCTGTGGCTTCCACAGTCTGTCTCCCCTTCCCAACCCGGTCCCTCACTGAGATAACCGGAGTTAAACTCTCACCTGTAGCCCCGGCCACTGGGCCTCCGGCTGCCCCACCTGGAACCCCTCAGCCAGGGCCACCGCTTGGGCGCCGGTATCAGGACCACATTCCCAGACCCAGCTCTGCATTTCCTCCGGCAGGATGGTCAGGAACTGCTCCAGGATCAGCAGCTCCAGGATCTGCTCCTTGGTGCGGCTCTGCGGCTCCAGCCAGCGATGGCAGAGCTCCCGGAGGCGGCTGTAAGCCTCCCGGGGCCCCTCGGCCTCCTGGTAGCGGAACTGCCTGAAGCGCCTGCGCTGTGTCTCTGGGCTGATGCCATAGCGACGCAGGATGGTGGCCTTCACCTTCCCATAGTCACTTGTCTCTGTGATGTCTAGGCTGCCATAGGCCAACTGGGCTTTCCCGGTGAGGTACAGCTCCAGTCGGGTTGTCCATTCCTCTCTCGGCCACTGGCAGGCGTCAGCCACCTGCTCAAAGGTGGCCAGATAGGCCTCGATATCGTCCTCTGGGGCCAGCTGTGGCAGCTCCAGGGTTCTCCATGCAGGTGCTGGAGTTGGCTTAACCTCGGCAGGGGTCTGCGTGGCTGACAGCTGCTCCTCTCGACACGGTGCCGTCTCCTCCGGCAGCTCGATCCCAGCCTGCTCCAGACCCCTGGGTGACTCACTGCCCCCCTGGGAGGTGGGGTTTTCACACCTACGTGCACAAGTCGGTGCTGGCACAACTCCGGGAGGAGGCGACAGCTCTGGTTCTCCAGGCCTGAAGGCGCAGACCGGAGCCGGCCCCACCTCCGGGAGGATGCACAGGGCCTGCAGCACCTCCTGCCAGACGTCCTCCCAGTGCTGCAGCATCTCCTTCTGCGACGCATACTGGGCCTGCTGCGGCGCTACCCATCTCAGCAGCTCCCCAATGGTGCCGGACTGCACCACAATAGGCAGCCCGCCCGACCGCTCCAATCCCGCATCTGGCTCGGGCCCAGCTGAGACCTGCTGCTCCGTCAGCCCAGCGGGGCACACCGACTGCTCCACCTGGATCTGAAACTGCAGGTCCAGGGCCCCCTCTGCCCCCGGCCCTGCAGCCATGGCTGCTCCCCGGGGGTGTCCTTATCCCAGCAGGGGATGAGCCCAGACCCCAGGCCTTTCTGTCTCATTCATGCCCCTGGCAGGAAGCATCCAGCCTCTGGCTTCGTATGCCAGTGCCTCGTTATTGACACCACGTGAGCCGGGTGAGGGATCAGGTCTGAGGGCCCAGAAGCACAAACTGTCTCGCAAAACCAGAGCAATCTCCTGGAGCCGGCAATGCTGCTGTCTGGAAAGACAGGCTTCTCCCGCGGCTCCTGGAGGGCAAGGGAAACACAGACAGTGAGGGAGCAATTCCGTGGTACCGAGGGATTTGAGTGCTTAGCTCAACCTGATAACTCCTGGTAAAAATGACAACGGCCGAGTTGTCCCTGGGACTGTGTGTCGTGTTCACTAACATTCCTGTCCTCCTAGTGTGGACGCACCCTTCCCTGCCAGAAAAGCTGTGTTCTTACAGCCAGCTAGTGACCACCTCTCCTTCTTAGAGAATCATCCCAGAGGGGGGATGGGGAAATGAGGGGCACGAGCCAGGGACGTGGGAAATCCAAGTTCAGTTCCCTGCTCTGTCAGACTCCGTGTGTGAGTCTTGGACAGTCACTCTAGCCTCGTCTACATGAGGTGGGGTTTGTGGTAGGATTACATCAGCATAGCTACACGGCCAATACCCTGGAGTGGGGATGCAGTTATGCTGGTATAAAACATATAGCACTGATATAGCTAATGCTGGTTTGGTGTCTGGTATAAGCTCTATCTGTGTAACTGCATCTAGGGCATTTACTGATATAGCTATGTCAGTAATAGTATCACACCCTCCATCCCCTTCCCAAGCTGTGCCCGTAAAGCTTTGAAGGGTAGACCAGGCCTTAGTCTCTCAGTGCCTCGGTTTCCCCACCTGTACCATGGGGGCAGTTGCACTGCCCTGGCTCACAGTGATGTGTGAGGATAAATGCATGAAGGCCTGTGGGACGCTCACACACGGTGTTAACAGGGAACGCTCTTCCTCACTTATCTTTGAACAAGGGAGTGAGTGAAAGTTCCCAGTGCCGGCAGGATTTGCATGGCTCATACCACATATGACTTTTTCTCTGGAAGCTCTGCATAACTGAAAGACCCCTGCACATCTCCCACACTCATACCCCCAGCTCTCTGTCCCCATCCGGCACAGACAGGCCCCTCTCTAACCTCCCCATCCACCTTCCATTCCCTCAGCTCCCTGTTCCACCCAGCACAGACAGGCTCCTCCATGCCCAGTGCTGGGGGATATGGGGTTATGTCTAGGTTATTAGGGTCTGTCTACATGGGGAAATTGGCTGGTGGGAATTACAATCCACCCTCCTTGTGCAAGGACCCGGGGGAGGGATATGCACCGGCTCTGACAGCATTAAACTGATCTGAACCCGCAGGCGAGGAGAACAGGATTGCAGCATTCATGTCCACTCCTCCCCCCCCCCCCCCACCCCCACACACACATTTCCCCGCTGCACTCACACACACGTCCCCTCATGAGTCTTTGCCTCCTCACATATGAGCACACCTCCCACTGTATCCCTCCTGACACACACACACACACACGTCCCCTCACCCACATGGCCACCCCTCACCCAAACACGCTTCTCATGTGCACCTTGTTTTAGTGTCACCCCCACGTGTTCTTAGCCTTCACCTCTCTTGCATGTCCTCCACACATGCTCCTGCCCGTCATAGACCTTCTCCCCACTAAAATATTGTCTTTGTAATCACATGCTCTCTTCCCATTTCTCTCTCTCTCTCTCTCTTAGGCTTGGTCTACACCTAACCCCCAAATCGAACTAAGGTACGCAACTTCAGCTACGTTATTCA